TGTCCTAAGTATAAATATCTCGGGGTGAGCATAAATGATGCAGACCTGATCGCTTCTCTGAGAGATTGAAACCGCTAGACTGTTTTACTTGGCTTTTATAAGGTCAGTTGTAGGCTACCATGCACTTATAGCAGTATAAGGACTCAGAAATAAATAGTCTAGAGATAGTACAAAATGAAGCTATGAGGATTATCCATGGTGCCTTGAGAACAGCAAGGATAGTGAACATGAGATCAGAACTAAATTTACCATCCATTTTTGATAGAATATTATATATTTGCAACCTGTTTGGGGACAAAGCTCTGAGGGAACACCTTTATCTCACATATTTCCAAAAACAACTGCAACATAAAATCACGCAAGCAGACGAGCCTAATCAGACACACAAACACTCCCTGGTACACAAAATCTGCATGAACATTACCACGCTTAACATCGCCATAAGATACCAAAAGGTCGATCCATTACCCTCATAGAAAACTTCATCACTGTGCACTTTACATATCTACCAAAAAAAAAAAAAAAAAAAAAAAAAAAAAAAAAAAAAAAGACGGGTCCGTACAGTCTGGATACAAAGCTGGTTGTGCTTGCGATGTATACAAAAATGGATTATTGCAACATCAAATTAACATGAGAGTACAAAATTGGGCCAGCAATACTCAAACGGAGTTGGCAGGTATACTCCTTGCAACAGAATACTTGCTTTTTTTTCGATTTTTCGATTTTTCATGCCGCTTTTGATGAAACTCACACCCTTTTATTTGGGCCCCTTCCCATTGCCTGTGGTCGATTTTTTTTTTCGAAATCGCCCCTACAGTTTTTGAATTATTGTCAAAAAACGAAAAAATGCGAAAGTCGCCATGTTGAAAATACAGCACCTGGGTAAAAGGATTCCGATTTCAGAAACGGCTAGACATTCAAGATTTTTGCACAGAACTACCTTATATCTACAACTTGTTCGAGAGCGTTTTTTCGATTTCGACTTCATATCATTTTTTGTGAATTTTTGAAGTAGGGGACTTAAAAAAAAAAAAAAAAAAAAAAGTAAACATTTTCTTACATTGACCACTTTTACAAGAAGTACAGGCAAAAATTGCGAAAACGCTCTCAAAAAAGTTGCAGATATTTTATTTTTCTACAAAATGAGCCATAATATGTTAATTTTGGACATATGTTGTGCCCGGAATCCTATGACCCACCCCTAAAGGTGGAGTTCCGAGATATCGGAATTTTACGTTTCTTCATCTTTCCAAGGCTATCTTGATATCAACAAAGCAAGGTATAAGATTAGTCTTCCTACACCATAATCCTCTCTCCTAGAACGAAGTCTTGCGGACATTGCCAGCACGTAACGGTTTCTCAAAATCTTACGAATAGTGCGGAGTGGTGGCAGTGATCTGGGGGTCTATAGGCCTACATTGACCATTTTTTTAAATTCTCAAAAATCCCCCAAAAAATCATACAGCCATTCTGATTTCATGTTTGAATAGAACTATCTTTCTACTATTATATGCAGAAGCCATTTTTGAGAAGTTGACCTTACTTTTTTCTTGATGAATATTTTCCGGTGACTATTTTAACACCCTAATAGGAGATTTTGAAAACATATGTCACTTTTACAAGAACCATATGAAGATATTGCAAATCCTTATGGCAGTATATAATAGAAGTATTATTCAGCTACAAAATGAGCCATAATACTTTAAAATCGGACCGAAAATACGTGTGCTATGCGTAAAAATATGACGGACCTAATAATCGCGATCTTATTCCTTTTTAATATGTTTACATTTTACTTGACAAATCATGTACAGAATACTTGTATTTGATATAATTATCTATCATTTACCTATTATTGATGCTCTAATGGGGTGTTACAACGTATAATATTTGTCGGAAGAATAACTTTTCTCCAGTCGGGCGGGTACCAAACGCATACCTTTCCCCGCGCGTCCGAGCCCGTCCTGGACCATGAAAATCGTCTTTTTAAATCTGCGGAATAACTCTACGGGGTCACGTAGCCAAATTTCACTCTCAGACCCCATGGAAAAACGAAAAACAATTACATGGCGATGTGAAAGTATGCATATAAGGTATATAAGCACATATAGATCATTTTTGTGTACCCCATGACCTTTTGTTTATTTATATTGTTACTTCCGTTTGTTTGTTGATTGTTTATTTGTTTTTTTTTTGTTTGTTAGTTTGTGTTTTCTGATATTTCTAAAAGTTATGAACACATTTTAACGAGATTTTAACCAAAGGTGAGTTTTAACCTAACTTAGACGCTTATTGCAGTTTGGTGGTGATGCGGACCATGGTTTGGATCCAGGAATGTTTTTCTAACTCAAAAAGTTATGAACAAATTTGAATATTTTTTTTTTTTACCTGAGGTTTGTCTTAGCCTAATTAATATTCCATAAAATTTTGGTGGTGATCCGGAACATTTGGCAAAACTACCCCCCATGGGGGGTTGGGGGGGTTGTATTTTCGAAATGTTTTGCTCATAGATCAAACTATGTATGATGAAAACATAAAGAAAAGAAAATACACCATATGAATTACATATGTTTAGTTATTTGTATGGAAAATTTCTTCATTACCGTTTTTTGGACGCTTGCCGGATTTTGAAATTATTCAGAAAAAAAGAAGGCTGGTCTCATCATCTGTGAAATTTTATAAGTTTTCAGATAATAACCTCATTTTTTTATCTCCAATCATTGCATCACAATTGCCAATTTTCTAAGGTAACATCAAAAAAATATTTCAGTCGATATCGAAAATCGCTACTACCACCTAAAAAATAACGGTCGGGCCTTAAAATTTTCTGGGGAGAACCAGGGGCCTAGAAACTCCTTGAAAATGCATTAAAGTCAATTTCGGTAAGAGGGGCGAAAATCGCCGAAAAATCACCAGAAGGTCCCCTTAATGTCCCGGGGCTTTGGAGTAGTGTTTTGTGATTCTCAAAGCGCTCTTCGGACACCAAGTTCCTTCAAAACAGATGGTGATGAGGAAATTGTGAACTGCATTAAGCGTAACATAACTTATGCAAGAGAGCGCAATTTTAACATTCAATTTGTATGGATACAATCTCATGTAGACAAATTGGCGTAAGAGGCTTGTAACAAAGATATTGTAAATATAGATCTTGGGATGCCTCTTGCTAGGGTTGCCCACATATTAAAAAGTTCTCCTAATGACGAACTGATAGATCTGACGAGTTCACAAAAGCCTAAAAGCTGTAGTACAAGGCAATAAGATCAGTATAGAGATTGTAAGCCCTCCAATGGATGGCACCGAAGTAAGACCAGACAATGTGACGTGGTTATTGCCAGAATACGTGTAGGTTATAGAATGCATTGGCAACTACAAGGTGCAAGAAGTGAAGATGAATCTTTATGTAGACTGTGTAATGAAGAAAATATGCGAACACTTGAGCATTTTATCTTAAGAGTGTCATGTGATACAGCCTTTCAGACCACCTAACATGAGGTGTAAAGAACTATGTGATTATTTTATAGCATCTGATACATTGGAAGATATACTCATGTTATATCCTGATTTTACTATCATAGAACACACCACAGAACACTGTTATGTAAACCCAAAGGCAAAGGTAGATCAACTTAGGTTATATACGTTTGCATGCTGTATGACATATTCCCATTTTACCATGTATAATTACTGTAATCAGAGAATACTGTACTCTGTCGAATGTATGTGAACATATAATATGTAACACTCTGTAATCATGATTGCCCATGCCTGAGCAGTTAGCCAGGGTGGTAAATAAACTTACTTAACTTAACACTCCCGTGAGATACAGGTATACAAATCCGGGGTGGTGTAAAATTATGTATATATGATATGTAAGTACATACAGATTATTTCCAAGTATTCCATGACAGGTTTATATATATTGATACCGCCGTTAGTTTGTTGATTGTGTTTATGTTTGCTGGATAATTTAAAAAGTTATGAACATATATTAATGTTTTTGTTTTTTGTTTTTTTTACTTATTTAGCCTAACTTAGATGCCATTACATTTTGCTGGTGATCTGGATAATGATTTGGATCTAGGATCTTTGTTTATTGCTAAAAAAAACTATGGACGGATTTTAATGATTTTTTTTCTTTTACCTGAGGTGTGTCTTAGCCTAACTTATATTCCATTCAATTCTGATGGTGATCTGGATCATTTGGCAAACCTGACCCCGTTTTTTTTTTTTTTTTTTTTTTTTTTTTTTTTTTTTTTTTTTTTTTTTTTTTTTTTTGGTGGGGGGAGGATTGCATTTACGAAATCTTTTTGCTCAAGGATGAAACTGACAAAATATGATCCAAACATAAACACAATGAAATACTCTATGTGAATGGCATATTCTTATTGATTTGTATACAAAAACTCACCGTCGTTTTTGAACGCTTCCCAGATTATTCAGAAAAAATGAAGGTTGGTCTCATCAGATGTGAAATTTTATAAGCTTTCCAAAAATAATCTCTTTTTTATCATATCTAATTGTTATATCACAATTACCAATTTTGAAAAATCATAATATTTTGGTGGACATCGAAAGTAGCTGCTACCACCTTAAAAATATCAGGTGGGCCTTAAAATTTTCAGGGGAGATTCGGAAGCCCTGAAACTTTGGAAATGCATTTTACTCAATTTCAGCAAGATGGCCATTTTTGCTGAAAAATTACAATACAGCCCCCTTAAATACCTTGTCAGTGGTACTATAGCAATAGTGAATAGTAGTATCATTACAACTAAAACATTTTTTTAGTAGGTCAGAAAAGTACTTGCTTGCCATATCTATTTCCATTAGAAGAATTAAGCAGTATAGATTTGCATATGATCTCTGTCTAAAGCTACTAATTGCTTTTTTAGAAAAGTATATAATGAGCCAGTCTTGATGTTCCATATTCTTCAACACACAAAAGGTAACATCCAAATATTAATTCACAATATCATATCTACTTCAAAAACTACAAACCTTACCAAGTGCAAGTGCAATCTGTGCCAAATAGATCTTGACAAGGTTTTCTGGGAGTCTGCCTAAGGATCGCCACAGCTGCTGCAGTTCGCCATATCCCACAAATTCTGTCACTGGTGCAGAAGATACAGTGAGGTAGTCTAAGATCTAGTTGTTCTACATAGATAATATAGTAAAAGGCTGCTAATCTCTTGAGATAAAATTAGAAATGAATTCAGATATACAATTTTGTGCTCATGTGCTCATATGCATAACCCTTTCACATATCTATGATCCCAATATCTATTACATATGAGGCAAGTTGTCTAAAAAGATAAAATACTTTTTTTTACAAGTTTCTTAGATGATTTGATGTGGCAATATTACATTAGATACAGCTTTAGCCTTGAGATTCAACTCATTGGCTTCCTAAATGCTGTGAATCTGAATGAAAAGACTATAATCTCAGATCCTCACATTCAAGAAAATATTTTATTCTATTTCAAACCCTTTGACCATAGCCCAGTATTCCATAGCCATTTCCATGTAAAAAAAACAAAGTGCTAATCTTAGCATTGTTGCTGATATTGTTATTGGGAATGAGAGTCAGGATTCCATGTTTGACAGTTAAACAGTTCAAAAAGGTAGTTTCATATGAAAAATGTTTTATTTACAAAAAAATGTGACAAATACTTTTGCTTATAGGAATTATGGTATTCAAATTTCACTAAAACATTTTTCAAAATCATAAAGATTTAAAAAACAATTAATATTTAAAAGAATTATTATGCAAATAGATGTGTTGTTAGTACAAGTATACAATCATAGTACTCACTAACAACTATCAGCATGCCTTTTTCCTTGGACAGGAGAGGCTTGAGGATAAATAGACTCAATTTGTAGGAACACTAGATAGCTTTTCCTAAGGATTGCAATCATGGTCACTCATGCAGTCAAAGAGATAAGATTATATATGTACATGCTCATGTTTTAGATGATGAATGTATATCAATGTTATGCATTTTTCATAACCAAATATTTAGGGATGCCCGAACAGGCCACAGGGGAGGGGAAAAATGCACCGTCTCCCCAAGATCTATATATCTCCCTTGTGTACACTATACAGATTATGCCATTCACCTTTAGAAAATCTGATTGTACCCTTGGAAAGGTAAAAGACTTGTACAACAGAGCCATTTTATGGCATCTCTGGTATAATGAATTTGTAATGTAAGAAAAAATAATATATAGTGGGGCCATGACTTTCAGAAAGAGCAAGGTGTCACTGAGCCATTGGATCCTGTTCAGCATGGGTGGTTGTCAGCACCAAGTCATAAGTTAGCTGTCTGACTTTTGTCCAATATAATGAGCCAGCACAGCAACTGAGAAGGACTATGTAACCAGGAAGAGCACGAACAATAACTTATGCACAATATTGCTTGTGTTCTATAATCCAGTAGCCCTGACTACCTGGCTGGCTGCAAAACTTATTGATGCTGCAAGTGTATGTCAATATGCACTGCCCACTGTGATTTTGTTTAATAATTTTGTTTTTTAGACAAAGATGCCTCCAGTCCTTAACTCACATAAAGACTCCATTTCAAGAATTTGAAATTATTATCAATAATATCTTAATAATGACAATATCAACATTAGTATAGTGAAAAAAAATCCAAAAAATGAATAGTAGGCCTAATAAATTGCTCCTTGGTGGTTAAACACCCATGAAGCCTTGAAAAATAACATTAATAAATACAACCTATATTCCAAAGCATTACACACAGTCAGCCAGTATGGCATGGTACAAAAACAGTCCATACTGTCAAGGTTGTGCTATCAAGGTTAAACTGACTCAGACATGATCATAACAGGTACAAAAGCATCTTGAAACCTTATCTAAAAACAAATGATGGTACACAGTTGAA